TCCTCAGTTATGGGGAGGGGTTGGAGAGACCCCTCTAGATATGGCATTGGAATTCCCAGCTAATGCCGTCCTTAGGAAGGCGCTGTGTTCTCTCAGTCTGTGTCAGGATGTCATTGTGGAAGGGGTGAGCAGGCTACTTCAGCACAGAGGTGATGGAGCTGGGAGTGCTTTGCAGAGTTGGGACTCGTGGGGATGGTCCTGGATATGCCATCATATCCTCAGCACAGGAAACCATGGAGGATTAGAGTCAGGAATGGGAAGTGTTGGGAGGAGACTCATGTTTCCCTCAGCACTTAGATCCTTCTGTAGGGTCCTGAGCTCCCGAATTCCTGCCTTTGGTTTGTTCTTCCGATGGTACAGTGGATGGTTACTGCATAGTCCCTGTCCTGAGTGCCATGAGGGCAGCTGTCACGCTGTAGGGGTTTGTGGGCTGAATGTAAGCTGGATAGACCTGGTGGCCCCCGGTGTGTGGGCTACAGTCACTATGTCCTACAACTTTGCCCTGAGCTGAAGTGTTGAGGTGTGTGTCTGACCCTTGAACTGACTGAGAATCACAAATGCCCCACATACAGGAGCATCACTAGTACTGGCTGGTCCCCATGAAGCAAGACACATACTGTACCTCTGCCTTACACCTTCACGTTCTGAGGAGGGACACTGACAACCAGTGCCTCACCTGAATCATGGCCTGGGGACGTCACCTGCAGAGCTCACACAGGTCTGGCATCCTTCTTTCTGTGACAAATTGGCATACTGAGCCAGAACTCTGGCCGTCTTCCTTGGTCTGCTCTTGATTAGTATGTAAACACCTTGCCAACAGCTCATGAGGTTGCTTGTCTTGCTCCAGCCTAGATAAGAATCCCCAGGGCCTTCTATTGCTACTGGCTGACTCTGGTAGGGACGACAGAGATGGAGCTGTCTTTGTTCATGTCCCATTCTGGCTCCCTGTGCAACACCTTCTACCCCAGCTCCTCCTGATCTTTCCTGTGTGTGTGGTTGTGTGTGTGTTATGATCAGATCCCACACTGAGTTTATGGGGTTTCTCCCTTGCCTCTGTCTCTTCAGTTTGTGTAGTTCATAATGAACATTTAAAACAACGAATGGAAGAGTTTGTCTAGGGGTGGCAGTGGTTCTGGGTAGGTTAAATGGGGGAGGATGTCATTCTCCCCAGCAGGACCACTGGAATGAGGGAAGCCTGAGTGGCCCCCCCCCTTTGTTCCTTGGGGTCTTAGCTTTCCCAACTGTGGAATAGGTTCATGTAGATGCTGATCCCAAAGTTTCTATCATCTCATAGGTAGATTTGGGGACTGTTCACTGCTTAAAAACTCCTGGGGGCCCCTGTCCTCTGACCCACTCTTGCCCCAGAGCATGCTGTCCTTGGAGGCTCTGTTCCTGGGCATTCCTGCCCCCCAACAAGTCTGGTGAAGGCAGCTCCCGGACCCTGATGAGCTGAAGGCTCAGACAGGGTATCTGTCCAACCTAGGACTGGAGGACTGGCAGAGTGAGTGTGGCCTGCACCTCTGAGAGGCTGACATGAGTGCCTCAGGCCCTGCAGTGTGTTTGTCCAAGAACAAAGCTACAGGTGCACTCTGTACATGGCCATAGTGTTGGAGGCCGGAAGAGTCCTCAGGCCTGGTGTCTGGGGTTACTGCAATGTCTGGGAAGCTTG